TATCTACATATCTGTATTTATTGAATTCTTGGGTGAATGTTGTTTGTTATACATGTATTTTTATTGAATATACGAGCATGTTCATTTGCCGAAGTTTTTTTGTAAATTAGTGACATAATCAGATTCCGCTGCTTTTAAACGTTATTAGTTGATACCGCATAATTGAGGTGTATTAGATAGCCGGCCTTCAGATTTGTATATGTGCGTTCTCATCATCCAACGAGCGAAACTATCCAGAAGTCAAAAATTGATGCAATAGAGACAACTTCGACAGAAAACATTACACGAGCAACCTCTTGCTTGTCAAGATCGTTTGATTGGCTGTGTTCATCCATATCTCGAATCTGTCTGTATATGTTCATTTGCAACGATATCAGTATATTATGTTAGGACATAGAGTCTCACAATCCTACATTAAACTTCTCACATATGACCGCAGATAAAAGACCTACTTGAAGTGAGATTTATCTGCTGCCCGTCTTCGTACGGACATGTTTGTGAACCACTTTTAACATGCTGACACAAACCCTAAACCCCTAAATCTTCCAACATGCTTGTACGGATCGCTGATCATTGACACCTTGTAATTCCGATGCGTCAGCCACGGAAAATGTCTCCAAGTCCATCTTCATGCTTGCGCACGAGCCTTCCATCGGACTAAACCGTATCATGGAGCACGTGGGCAACTCAGTACCGCGCTTCGCCGAGAAGAAAGTATGGGTGCATGTGCTTCATGAGGTGGGCGGTGTAGTATGGGTGCGCTTCGTTGAGTGTATTATTAGAGTGGGCTATAAACTTAGCAGAACGCGGCAAATTAACGCCCGGCAGGGGGGATACCTTCGTGTGCATCCGATGATACTGCGTTATATGCAGCAGTAGGTACTGGGCCACTTACTAACCGAGACGTATACCCGGACACTTGCACGCATACACCTCATCTGCACGTATAGCTGCACTCCAATGGACTGATGTCTGAAAACGCATACCTTCATGGATATACTCTTAGTACAGATAGTTACACCCGAAAGTGCATATATATATGCACGACTTCCTAGCCATGTAAACCGGGAACACGTTCTCTTAATATTTATTTTTTAAAATCGCTGCCACACATAGCTGCATACCTTCACTTCCACCGCAATGTTTCTGTAAAAAAAACCCACCACTACACACCTCTACATGCCCTGATAAGCATACGTGCTTATTAGCGTTGTCATTTTGTATACCACGGCTCGTTCCTTGTACTTCCTTCTGGCCGAAGACACTTCACTAACGGCATCTTTTTTCATTATCCGTATTCCGTAGTACGCGCTGAAACAGGACATTGAGCGCTTACAGGGAACGGTGTTTGATGCCACGTTCTCTTTGGAGACTCTCAAGGTATCGTGCTATGTAACAATCATCAAGTTGGCTTTGTTTACCCTGCCAGTGTGCTGTATATGATAGTTAATCGTACGCTCCCATGCAGTCCCAAGGTATTGTGCTATATTACGATCATCAAGTTGCCTTTATTTACCCTGCCAGTGTGCTGTATATGATAATCAATCGTACGCTCTTATGCAGTGCTAGCACGCGCTCGCCTTGACCATCCAATGAGATGTATATTACTATCCAGCTGAATACTAGTATGAGATGAGGTAACCGCGGGCTGCAACGGTATTACAAGTCGTATCAGCTTATTCAACAACATGCTCTGCTGTACAAATGATCAAAGCTTGGCCTAAACTGATATCGGCACGTGTACGGAAACTCGTAAACCCCGTTTTATCCTTCTTTTATAAACAACAATCCCCGATTGTTGTATCTTGAATAAACCTTGTTATATACAATCTGCTCTGCAACCTTCGCACAGGGTATCGGGGCGGCGTCTGGTCGGTTCCAGAGCATGTCCGACATACTCACCGAAACCACCAGAGAGTTGGAATCATCTTCATCTGCGACGAAACTCGCGGAGAGGAAGCCGTAAGCACCATACCCCACATACTCCACACACAGCTGATATATCAAGCATCACCAATGGTACCTATGGTACCTATAAGGCGCTTCAGCATCAATAGGCTGCCAGTGGAAGTACATGAACATGTCACAGACACAGCCAACACGTGCTGATTCGGGTGTTTTGTCTGGTTTACACAGACAGGTGGTGTGCGTAGATGCCTTGTATTCGCGCCAGTGTTCAGCAAGCAGACCAAGGGCCGTCTCTCTCGCATACATACAATGACACTTTGGAGCTCGTGCCGATCTTAGGGGTTTTAGGGTTTTAGACACCCTTGCCTATATATGTGCTGTCAGGGAGTGGGTGGACCATGGCTCATCCGTCCGAGACCTTCCTCATACGCAGATTGATTCCAATGGGGTGACCTCCAATAAGCATCGACTTTCGGGGACACCAACGCCATATTGACAACGGAATCTGAAGTGGGTTCACGTCGCATGCTTGTTGAGTCCGACAAGACGTGGGGAACGGTCTGGCTGTTGGGGCGCGTGCGCAGAGGCCAAGGCCTATGCACGGCCCAATGGCAACAGGCACACAGAAACGCATGAGAAGAATGTATAGTTATGCGCGGTGGTGCTGGATGGTCTGGGTGGTGGTCTGCATTTATATTTGTGTACGTAGCATCCCCTCCGCGTCGGCCAAGTGAGTTATTGGCCCATAAACCGCATCGTGAGTTTATTGCCACATAAGCCGCATCATGAGTTTATTGCCACATGAACCGCATCGGAATGAGTGTAGTGATGTGTTGGACTACCCTCCGGCCGCAGACCGGTATGCATCACCAATGAGAGAGTCTGTGTGCGTGTACAGACACTTTCTGTTGCCTTCCACCCACGTGCGCTGTAGGTATCACCATATACACGTGCCTACCAAATGCTCTGGTATTCGTTGTGTCGTTGTGGTCCATCTACACTTCAGCGGCGACTAGATTTGTCGCCGCAAGTCACAGGCCCCTACGCAATATCCACACACCTCCAAGCAACAACCTTTAACGGCTTTCTGGGAGTTTTTTTTCTGCTCACTACTACCTAGCAGTAGTCCTGTCCATCGCAAATCCCCATTGCTGGACAGTAGCACATCTGAACTGACTAGCCACCGAATTGTAACTAATTCATGTTAAGTAGCCACTAAAAAGGCTGGCCACGCGGGAAGAAGCAATTAATCTACTCAATGGGCCAGCTCTCGAGATGGGGATCTGCAGTATCTTCCAGATGATGAACTATGGCCTTAACATTAATTCCGAATGGGTTTGTAGTTCCAACAATCTCATCGAAGAGCGCTCAGATGCGCATGAAAATAGTCGCGCACAGTGGCATTGGCTTACTTGACAAAAAATAAGACAGCCGACGAGTGGGGTTCGTCCCAGTTCATCACCGCGTGTGCGCGTGTTGCAATTCTGCCTTCCTCTATTCCTGTATAATATATGAGTAGCGTTGCCTTCCTATATAGTATACGAGTAGGTTTTCCTTCCTATATAGTATATGAATAGTTTTACCTTTCTTTATAGTATGCATGTAGTCACTGGCCGCTCAGCTGCTTGCGGCTGGCACCATGCGCTCTCCACTGTCTTTTTTGGGGGGGTCAATTGTTACTGCACCGAAAACGGGACATCTCTGGTACGATTCTGAGGCCAATTGAACAGGACATTCAGTACACATGTAGCAATCCATCAGTATCCCCCATTGCGGTTGCCACCCAACACTTTCACGTTCTCGAAGTCAGACTGGACACCGAAGAAGGGACTCGATTCTTTGTATCAGCTAAACACAGTGGTGATATATATACATATATATATATATATATATATTTATATATATTTATATCATATATACATATATATATATATATATATATATATATTTATATATATTTATATCATATATACATATATATATATAATATATATATAAATATAAACATAACCATAGATAGCAATCATATACTCAATACTTGCTGGCGGCGTGAGTTTTAGGTTGGAGTTGGACGACATGCGCAAGAATTCGTAAGAGATGAAGTCAGAAAGTGGAATGTGAAAGAATGCCCAAGGATCTGCTCCCCAGTAATCGATTCGGGAGGATGCCGTTTCCAGAGAAAGGGGTGTTGTGTTGTACGAAGGTCCGCCATCTTAGTACAAGTAACGAGTCAAAGTCGTGAATGGCGATGGACTGCTTTTAGATATCCCGAGCAATCTGATTATACCATTAACCATTTTAACATCGTGGAGCTGACATGTATACTTTGTTTGTAGTATGAAGTGGTATGCAATAAGTTGTATGAGTCGCTAGGAGTCAATCAAATATTTAAGTTACTCCTACAGAGTTATTTATAACTATTAGCGAAACTATATTATTATTACTGTGTCAGCCCTTACATGCGCGGTCTCAGACATACTTGACTCCAACCATCCGTTCGAATCGCTCCACCTCCTTCTTATTTCCGTAGGCCACCTGTATGTACGGCAACATGCCATCGCCGAGTGAAATTCGTTAAGAGCCAGTTGTTTAGTCATCCTGCTATTCTGGTACATATGTGATCCAGTACACATATACTTCATACATACTTCATACACTGGACAAATATACAAATATGTATATAAAGCTGCTGTATATGAATAATGTGCTTAGGTCAAACACGTATGCGCCTAACCCCGTGGGTAGGTGTGGTATGAGTCTATCCACGTACAATATATATCGACCAGTATTGCAAGAACTCATATCAATTGTAAGCACGAGACGCTCGTAACGAGTGAGACCATCCGTGGGCCAAATTACCCACAGACCGCTTACCAGGGCACAGCTGCGATGTTCTATTTTGGATATAGAACCCGCCACTCCGTCGGATATCGATGCAGTAGCAACAAAATTTCAATCCCAACACCCGAACCACCTATAGTCACAACTGAACATCCGAGACCGCTACACGATTTTTAGGGACTCTTCAATCACTGGCAGCCATCTCTCCAGGGATACTCACATTCCTATCCGCGTATATCCTCCAACCGCACACACGCACAATATACCATACAACAACACCATCCCTACCTATCATAACGTTTTAACTTAGCGCATCGGGACAATGAGGCCTAATTCAGCACACACCTGCATTTTCTGTTCAAGATTCGTCACCTTCACGTCGAGTATCGAACCTTCGCCATCGCTGCTACCGCCCCCCGCCTTCTCCACAATGAATGCGATGGGGATCGTTTCGTACAGACATCGAAGTTTCGCGGGCGCCGATTTGGAATGCGGATTCGTAAAGATTCCCTTTTTCTGCAGAATTGTAGTCGGTCATCTTATTTGAACGTAAAAACACACAATATACATATGTATGTATGTATGTATGTATGTATGTATATATGTATGTATGTGTGTGTGTATGTATGTACGTATGTATGTATGTATGTGTGTGTGTGTGCGTGTATGTGTGTGTATCTATGTATCTATGTATATATATATATATATATAGATAGATACAATATACATATATATATATATATACATTATGTATATATATATGTGTGTGTG